TTTTGCTATTATTTTATTAGTTAAAATTAATTTATACTTATTGTTAGGACCAGAAATAGTACCCTGGAACCAACTATCGCCAACTATAATAATAAATACTTTATTTATAGGTCAGAAAACAAAAACCAAAATTTCCCAACAGTTTTTACCACCATAATCTTATTTCAATCCGTCGTTGTGTCTTTATTCTAGGGCCATTTTGTCATAGGATTTATGCCCGATAAATTTCAAAAAATCAATTATGTGGTGTATAGGCCATAACTCGATAATTGCCTGCATTTATTGAATAATAGATTGTTGGCATTATTATATATGAGTTATGGTGCAGTTGTATTCATACAGAGCTTTTTGTACTAGGCTAATGCTGATTGAATCACATTGTTCTGATTTAATTTCATTTTAGTAAAAACTATTGCGGTAAACTTGCGTTCGCGTATTTTAGAACCTATATTCTAATATATAATACGTCATTGGTAACTTATATAAAGATTGTTAGAATTTAAAAATGAAGCAGTTTATTTTTTATCAAAGTAAAAAGAACCGATGACAAATTTTGGCAAAACAGCAAAAAAACACATTTTTAACATGGTGAATTAGCTGGGAGTTTTACCGAACATAGTCGGATAGTTGTTTGTTTGATATGTGTTATTTGTTGTGATATAATTGATTTGGTTTTTACAATATAGTTGCTCAAAGTCAAATTGGACCTTTGTACCCCGCCAATTTTTTTTAAAGAATTTTCAAGTATTTACCTTACATAATTCAAAGTTACTCAATTTAAACTATATATTAATATTATCTTCTTTATTCCGAGTAACCCGTAACTAAAGCAAACTCAATAACGTCTTTGCTCCCGATCTTGAATATCCAGTTTTCTGAAATTGAGTTAGTTTGGCGTTGTACAAACAAGGAACTCATTTGTAGTAAAAAACACGTACTATTACAATACACATATTCAGAGTTAAACCAATTGTCATGTTAAGTTGCCCGCCCATATGCTGCCGAGATGATGAGAAATAATAACAGAACAGTGCAGTCCGGTAATCCAGATTTTGGGAATTAATATAATACTTCGAAGAATTTTTTGAGTCAATTTCTATTAATTTTCTTAATTTCTTATAAAGCGTATTCGGAAAACACATATATCCCTAAATTTTCATCCTCTTACCACAATTTTGTAAGAATTATTATACATCATTTTTCTTCACGATTTTTGTCAGTGAACGTTTGTGACTAAATTTTGATTGAGATTTTTTGAGCGCAGAAAAAAGCTCTATTTCACATAAGAAAATTAAATTCATCAAGAGTAGTCCAACTCCAGCACTTATTTTGTAATTGGGATAATTTTCTTATTTTTTTAAAAATGGGGGTTTAAAAAATACTTATATACAACCATCAATTTTCACCTTCCAACCCCACTTTCAAATTTCTTAATAATTTTTTACATGATTGTTAAGAAGTCGATTATTAATTGTTGGAGGACGTTTTCAGTTAGTATTAGGAAAAAAATCACTTTTAGATTAGAAAATACGAATGGTCTAGAAAATATGATGAGATTAATTATATAAAATTTTGATTTAATTTCATTATATCTCAGATTGAATAAAAAAGCTACTTTTGATGTAGCCAAAAATTTAGAGATGGAGCATTTCATCAATAATAATGTGAAATGTAATTGTGAATTTTATTTTTCAATACAAAATGTATACATTATCAATAAAATAGGTTTTTATATGTGCAGTAATCATTTAAATAGCATATATTCCATAGATGATAACAAGAATCTACCGCCTCTGATTTTCTAACTCTACGAATAATCTTACATTTTAAATCAGTGCAAATTTAGTTAAGTTATTACCATAAACACAATTATAACGTTTATGATTTATAATTAGCTCGTTTTTGGAGAATTGTTTAATAATAAAATTAACAGTCATTAGAAATAATTTATGTCCACGCCCATATAGTAGTACTACGTAATTCATGGCCGAAAATAAATTATTATAAAATTTGTTTTTTTTTGCTATATGTTTTGAATATTTGTAAAATTTGCTTGGTTATTTACTATTTATATTAATTATATTGTGAGGTTCAATCTATAAGAAAGTGTGTGAAAAATTCAAATCAATCCTAAAATTTAAAATTTCGGGTACAATTATGAGTTCGCTATAGTTACTATATAGATATTTAATTTTATTTCTTAGTTTTATATGCTATCATCGATCAGATACATATATTTTTGATAAAAATACCTTTTAAATAATATTCTGTTATTCGATTTTTATGAACAGTTGTAACAAAAATTCAAATTAAATGAATATTTTTAAATTTCTCATGAATAAGCTCGAGAAGCTAAGGTATAGTAGTAGAAATAGTTATGAATTTGATATTAATTTCAGTTATATTAAATTTATTGGAAAGTATAATATCTAACAAATAGTACATTAAAAATATCTATACATTTATAAATGTATTAACCAAACATTAATTTCAAAAATATTACTTTCGTAAAAAAATATACTCTTATTTTTGTCTTGTAATATAGAAACCATAACATTTTTACGAATGTGTTAATCTCTCGATAGACAAATTTCACAGTTTGCTTAGAATCAATAAAAAATATTTATGTTACGTAATTTTTTATGGAAATATTTTGCCTTACATCAACTTTGTTAAAATTGCACAACAAATCATCGAGTAAATACTAGGTCGTGATCTTATTACTTTAAATTTTAAATCACTAGATAAATCAGTCTTGGATTTATATTATTGGATTCAAAATTCTTACTTATTGGTAAATAAAATACATCGATTATATCTTTAATTATTGCACTATTAAGTACTCAGATACAATTTTAATAATTTATCAAAAATGAATTGTTATTTCTCATATATACTTTGTCACCAGAATAGCTCTTTATTTGCTCGCAGATTAATAATTTTCCATGGTATATTTTTTATAAAATATTCTGAAGCTTTTGAATATTTTTAACTTCCCGTAGGGTAAGTTATTGTAATGGGCCGAAAATCGGAATTGAAAATTTTTACATTTCTCGACGTTTTGAAGGTTTCTGAACGTTTTGGCATACCTCAGAAAAAATGGATGTGTGTGTGTGTGTGTGTGTGTGTGTGTGTGTGTGTGTATGTATGTATGGATACAAATTTCCAGTCACGTTTTAGGGCGCACGGATCAACCGATTTGAATGGTTCAAAAAACATTCGATTCCTAGTGATTGGGAAAAGAGCTGATTAGTTTTTGGCAAAGGCAGGTCCAGCCGTTTCGGAGATACGGAGCGAAGAGGCCGAAAATAGAAATCGAATTTTTGAGAGAACGGAGTATCCGATTTGAATGATCTAAAAAACATTCAATTAGTAATGATTGGGAGAAGTGTTTATTACTTTTTGGCAAAGGCAGGCCCAGCCATTTCGAGATACGGAGCAAGAGATGTAAAAAATGGCAGTTTTTGAGAGAACTAAGCGTCCGATTAAATGATTCAAAGAACTTTCCGCTAGTCTTAA